GGCAGGAGCCTACGATCTGTCCTGGCCTTGCTGTGTGACTCCGGGTAAGTAGCTGGCCCTCTCTGGGCCTCAGTCTCCTTATCTAAATCTCCTCTACCCTCAGTTAATCACATCAACCTGTTTTGGCTTCCTCTCAGCACCTTGTAGCTTTAGGAAATTTTTTTTTAATGAGCTCACATGTTGGTTGTTGGGAGACCACTGGACTGTGTGGCCCTTATTATTCACCCCAGTCCCAACACGCAGGAGGGGATCCACTGACGACTGCTGTCTAAACGTCTACATGGGTAAATGAAGGAACAGATGTAGCTCCTGCCTTATGATGGGGCTCTGGATATGGCTGTGTGTTCATAAGTGCGGACGTACGTGCACTCCTGTGTTTGGCGCTCCCGGGCAGCGTGTGTGGTATAACATAGTTGTGGGTATGTCCACTAGGGTGTCAGCTCCACAAGGGCAGGGATTTTTGTCTGACTTGTTCCCTGCTCTATCTCAGCTCAATCTGGAACAGGGACAAACACACGGCTGGAGTCAACACATCCTTGACTGTAAAAACGTATGAAAGTGCATACACACATCTGGTGTGGGTCCACGTGCCAACCTGTGCATATACTACAGTATAGTGTTAGTCACTCATTCATGTCTGACTCTGAGACCCCATGGACTGTAACCCATCAGGCTCATCTGTCCGTGGAATTTCCAGGCAAGAATACTGGAGTGGGTAGCCATTCTCTTCTCCAGGGGATCTTCCCCACCCAGGGATTGAACCTGAGTCTCCTCCATTGCAGGCAGATTCTTTACCATCTGAGCCACCAGGGAAGCACAAGACATGTACATGGTGATGCCAAAAGCTCAGCTTCTCTGTACACTGGTGCCGGATCAAACCTCACAGACAAAGATTGGGGTGAAGTAGAAAAGGAGAGCTTACTGCTTTGCCAGGCAAAGGGGGATACAGCAGGCTCATGCTCTCAAAACCATGTCCCCCTGGGGGAGGTACTGAGAAGTTTTCTAGTAAAAGAAGACGTGATCAGCCCGTGAACATTTTCCTGATGTGCTGGTGGTGTGGGGTACAAATCACCATATTCAACCTTCAGGTACAACTGGTCTTGGGTCTGCATGTTTGAGGGCAGCATACCACAAATTTTCCCACCCGGAGGGGGTTTCAGTACCTGCAAAATCCTTCAATGATATTGTTGTATGTATCTCGTGATCAGGAATCAGGACGTTGCCCCAAGGCTGCTCTTGATTTTATTTCTCCCTGCTTTTACAATCCTTCCCTTCCCTAATGAACACCTGCCCATTGGAATTCTGGGCAGATCATGGAGGCTGAATGAAGGCTGCTTGCAAATATCACAGAAATGGATGGTGGGTGGGAGCTTCCCTGGTGACTGAGCAGTAAAGAATCCACCTGCCAATGTGGGAGACACGGGTGCACTTCTTCATCCGGGCAGATCCCACGGGCCTCAGAGCAACTGAGTCTGTGTGCACAACTGCTGAGCCCTCACGCTAGACCCCGGGCTCTAGAGGAACAAGAGAAGCCACCGCAATGAGAAGCCTGTGCCCTGCGAGGAAGAGTAGCCCCCACTCGCTGCAACTAGAGAAAAAGCGCACACAGCCACAAAGATCCAGCACAGACAAAATCAATAAATAAAATTATATTAAAAGTACATTTTAAGAAACCCTTAAAAGAACTGAGACAAGGAGCTCCACAGGGCCCTGCACCGTGTCACACGCTCCCGTGTCTAAGGGTGTGGGTGATATTGCTTACACACCACCCCCTGTCCCATTTCCAAACTCCTCCAGTCCAGGGCCCAAAGGCTGGGTCCCGGTGGGGTGGAGGAGGGGGCCACCTCCTCACGGGAAACTGGATCCCAGGACTTGCAGAGCTGCAGGGAGCAGGGTGGCCCCTTTGTCCCCCCAGATAATCCCCTCCCTGCCTGGCTCCCTTTCTCCCAGCAACCGGAGTATAAGGTCAGATTGGGGGGCTGAGGGGACTAGGGTGTCACCGCAATGCCTCCTTCCCTACCTGTCCCCTGCCTCAGGGGCTTCTGCACCTCCCCCCACAACCCCCAAGGTATGACTTTCCCTCCCTCATGGGTGGCCCGAGGGCTCAGACCCAGGTATATAGCCACCTGAGGGGCCAGAGGACAGGTGTCCCAGAACCACTGAGAGACTGCAGAGAGGAAGGATCCAGGAGAGACCATGACTTATCATCTGATGGGTGAGTGAGGGAGACAGGGCGTGAGGGTCCTGAGACCAGGAGGGAGCGGTACCGCCTGGGCCCTCTGGCCCATCTGACTCAGGGACCTGGCTGCTCTTGCATCTGTTGGGAACTTCCAAAGCCTTACACACAGAGGACTTCATTCATCATTCATTCATTCAAGACATACTTCTGCAGTGCCTATTAGGTGCTAGGTAGTAGTCTAAGTGGGCTTCCCAAGTGGCGCTAGTGATAAAGAACCTGCCTGCAATGCAGGAAACTGAGGAGACCTGGGTTTGATCTGTGAGTTGGAAAGATCCCCTGGAAGAGGCATGGCAACCCACTCCGGTATTCTTGCCTGGAGAGTCTCATGAACCAGAGGCTCCTGGTGGGCTACAGTCCACGGGGTAGCAAAGAGTTGGACATACTTGCGGTGACTAGGCACGCATGCACAGTAGTCTAACTATTGGGGCTATTGCTGCTGTTTAGTTGCGAAGTCGTGTCCAACTCTTTTGTGACCCCATGGACTGTAGACCTCCAGGGCCCTCTGTCCGTGGTATTTCCCAGACAAGATTACTGGAGTGGATTGCCATTGCCTTCTCCAGGTGAACTGCCCCATTCAGGGATCAAACCCACGTTTCCCGCATTGGCAGGCGGATTCTTTACCACTGAGCTTTCAGGGAAACCCAAGCATTGGGGACAGGCACTAAAGAAACAGACAAAAAAAGAGATTTCGTTCTGCAGACAGACAGTCCATGTGATCACAAGTAAATTATCATACCAGTGTGTCTTTCCAGTTAGCGCTAGTGGTTAAGAATCTGCCTGCCAATGTAGAAGACATGAGACATATGTTCGAAACCTGGGTCGGGAAGAACCACTGGAGAAGGAAATGGCAACCCAGTCCAATATTCTTGCCTGGAAAATTCCATGGACAGAGGAGCCTGTCGGGCTACAGTCCATGGGGTTGCAAAGCCTCGGACACGACTGAGCACCCACACAGATGTGATAGAATTTGAATACAGTGATCCAAGTTTGTTGAAAAAATGAGTGAACAGGGCTTCACTTCAGGCCTTCCCTTAAGTTCTGAACTTCTGGGAGGTCAGGAATATAGACAGGGAAGCTAAAGAAGACATCCTGGTCAGCCTCTCATCTCCATCACTGCTGGTGACCTTAAGTTTTTTGTTTTCGTTTTTAATTTGGCTACACCAGGCCTCAGTTGGAGCAGGTGGGATCTCGTTCCCTGACCAGGGATTGAACCTGAATGCCCTGCATTGGCAGTGCAGTCTTAGGCCTTGGTCCACCAGGGACGTCCCCCAGAGGGGCTTTTGAGTTGAGCCCTGAAGAATCAGAAGGAGAAGCCCTGGGTGGGTTTGCAAGGTGGTCCTGGCAGGGCCCAGCAAGGGCAAAGTCTGAGTAGGGGATGCTGCGGAAAAGAGGGTCCAGGCCTTAAGCCCACAGTGAGGACTTCAATAGTCACTGTGTTAGGTGTAAGCCATGGAAACATGTGGACAAAGGAGGGATCTAGCTGGACTTGAAGAGCTTCCAGGTGGCAGAGGGAGACAGAGGTGGAGGCAAAGACAGCAGCTGGGAGAGAAATAGCTTCTAGATACATCTTTTATTTATTTACGGCTGTGCTGGGTCTTCGTTGCTGTGCTCAAGCTTTCTCTAGTTGCAGTGAGTGGGGGATACTCTCGAGCTGAGATGCGTGGACTTCTCATTGCAGTGGTTTCTCTTGTGCAGGCTCCAGGCACACAGGCTTCAGTAATTGTGGCTCTGGGCCTCTAGGGCACAGACTCAGTAGATGTGCCACGACTTAACGGTTGCACCATGGTGTGTGGGATCTTCGCAGACCAGGGATCAAACGTGTCTCCTGCAATGGCAGGTGGATTCTTTACCTCTGACCCAGTAGGGAAATCCGCATGCTTGAAAACTTTGTATTGAAAATAGAAGATAGGGACAGAGAAACTTGCACAAGTCCGAAGTATATAGCTCAATGAGCTTTCACAGAGTCTAGGTATACTTGTCACAAGTGCTCGGATCCAGAAACACAGACCTACGGAGTTCCCTGGTGGTCTGGTGGTTAGGATTCTGGGCGTTCAGTGCCCAGGTTCAGTCCCTGGGCAGGGAGCTGAGATCCTGCAAGTGTCACGGTGTAACCAAACACAAACACAAAAACCCACAGACCTCGTGGCCACCTTTTAAGGACAGAGCCAACAGGATTTAATGTGGGTTGAACATAGGAAGAAGGAGAGAATGAGGCATCCAAGAGGACCCCATGACTTTGACCTGAGCACCTGGGAGCATGGACATGCACTTTTCTGAGATGGGGAAGACCAGGGAAGGAGGGAAACAGGGCGGCTAGAGCTGAGCACTGGATATTTTGACTTGAGATACTTATTAACATCCAAGGGAAAACGTCAATTGGGAAGTTGAATACATGTGTCTGGAGGTCAGGGGAATTTTTTCTTTCCTTTTAATATTTATTTATATAAAATTGCATTTAAAAAGAATAAAATAAATAAATAAAATTTTTTTAAATTTATCTTATTTGGTTTGCTGGTTCTTTGTCCTTCCGGCATGCAAATTCTCAGTCGTGGCATGTGGGATTAGTTCCCTGACCAGGGATTGAACCCGGGGCCTCCTGCGTTGGGAGCTGAGGTCATTAGCCACTGGACCATCAGGGACATCCCAAGGGAATATTCTGGGCTAGAAATAATCTGCTTACACGGTGATTCTGCCCTGAGTTGCACACATAAGACCGTTGCAACCCTAAGGGTTGCATCCATATGAGGGGCTGTTGTGATGAATGAGTGAATCAGCAGGTGAGGTCAGGGACTTGGTGCTGACCTCTGATTTCTTCCTGCCAGCCCCCTTCTGCCTGCTGACCCTGCTGCTGCCACCTCTCAGTTTGGGAGCCCCCATATCCACAGCTGAGTCTATCACCCAAGCCTATAATCTGGCGCTCAACATGCAGTTGCAGACTTCAGCCCTGCTGCAGACTTATGTGAGTGACAGGGCATGAGAAGGGGGTGAGGGGAGGAGGCTGTCCCCCTCCTGGCCCAGCCCTGGGGAAGGGAGGCAGAACAAGGCTGGAAGAAGCCTCCTCCATGGGTCCTGGGGTACAGAGGCTCTGCCAGCTAGAGACACGCCCACAGGAATGATGTCACTGATGGCTGGGTGACCTTGGGCAGGTCATTCCTTCTCTCCCTGTCTTAGCTTCCTCATCTGCCAAATGGGATGGTGATCGTGCCTTGGCTGACCTCTCAAGACTGTTAGAAGATTCGAAGGAAGCACCTAGAGGAAAGTTTTTTCCAGGCTCATGAGTCTTTCCATAGTCACCTCCTGCCCTATGCTTTCCTGAGCCTATGCCATGCTGGGAGATTTAGCCTCATGATCTTACTGTCTCCTCAGATAGCTCTAAGAGGTAGAATTATGACCTGTTTTTACCGATAAGAGAACTGAGGGGGCTTTTTTAGACTTTAAAAATTTTTTATATTTTTATAATTTTATTTATTTTTGGCCGTGCTGGATCTTTCTTATTTAGTTTGGGCTCTTCTCTAGTTTTGGGGAAGGAAATGGCAACCTAATCCAGTACTCGTGGCTGGAAAATCCCATGGACGGAGGAGCAATTATGCTATAGACCTTGGGGTGGCAAAGAGTCAGACAGGACTGAGCGACTTCACTTCACTCACTTCACTCACTTCACACTCTATCACTGGAGAAGGAAATGGCAACCCACTCCAGTATTCTTGCCTGGAGAATCCCATGGACAGAGGAGCCTGGTGGGCCATGGGCCATGGGGTCGCAGAGAGTCGGACACAACTGAAGTGACTGAGCACTGAGCAGCCTCTCTGGCGGCTACTCTCAAGAGTTGCGGGGTGCAGGCTTCTCACTGTGGCGGCTTCCTTCGTTGCTGAGCACAGGCTCCAGGGCTCGCAAGGCTTCAGTAGTTGTGGCGCGTGGGCTCAGTAGTTGCGACTCTCTGGCTCTAGAGCACAGGCTCAGAGGTTATGGCCCACGGGCTTAGCTGATCTAGGACATCTGGATCAGGAACCCGTGTCTCCTGCATTGTCAGGAGGATTCTTACCCACCGAGCCACCAGGGAAGCCCTCTTTTTGTTGTTTTTTTTTTCATTTATTTTTATTAGTTGGAGGCTAATTACTTTACATCATTGCAGTGGTTTTTGTCATACATTGAAATGAATTAGCCATGGATTTACATGTATTCCCCATCCCGGTCCCCTCTCCCACCTCCCTCTCCACCCGATCCCTCTGGGTCTTCCCAGTGCACCAGGCCCGAGCACTTGTCTCATGCACCCAACCTGGGCTGGTGATCTGTCACCCTAGATAATATACGTGTTTTGATGCTGTTCTCTTGAAACATCCCACCCTCGCCTTCTCCCAGAGTCCACAAGTCTGTTCTATACATCGGAGTCTCTTTTTCTGTTTTGCATATAGGGTTATCGTTACCATCTTTCTAAATTCCATATATATGTGTTAGTATACTGTAATGGTCTTTATCTTTCTGGCTTACTTCGCTCTGTATAATGGGCTCCAGTTTCATCCATCTCATTAGAACTGATTCAAATGAATTCTTTTTAATGGCTGAGTAATATTCCATGGCGTATATGTACCACAGCTTCCTCATCCATTCGTCTGCTGATGGGAATCTAGGTTGCTTCCATGTCCTGGCTATTATAAACAGTGCTGCAATGAACATTGGGGTGCACGTGTCTCTTTCAGATCCGGTTTCCACGGTGTGTATGCCCAGAAGTGGGATTGCTGGGTCATATGGCAGTTCTATTTCCAGCTTTTTAAGAAATCTCCACACTGTTTTCCATAGTGGCTGTACTAATTTGCATTCCCACCAACAGTGTAAGAGGGTTCCCTTTTCTCCACACCCTCTCCAGCATTTAGGAAGCCCTCTTTTTGATTTTCTGATGTGGACCATGTTTAAATGTCCTTATTGACTTTGTCATAATACCGGTTCTGTTTTATCCGTTGGGTTTCTTGGCTGCGAGGCATGTGAGATCTTAGCTCTTCAACCAGGGATTGAACCCACACCCCGTGCAGTGGAGGGCAGAGTCTTAACCACTGGACCATGAATGAAAGGCCAGGAAACTGAGCTTTAGAGGGGGAATAATTTACCTGAGGTCACAAAACTGTCTGGAAGTTCAAAGCAGCAGCCTGCTGGCTGGGTCTGACCCACAGATGCTTTGTCTAGGCCATGGCTGCTTGTTCAAATTTTGCACATGAAAACCTGTCAGAAACAGGCACAGGGGTGCTGTTGGCCTCCAGTCACTGTGGCCCACTCCCACCCCATCTGCTGCTTCTCCAGGTGATGTGATCTACCTGGCCCTTGGAATTTGTGACTCTTCCACTGAACTATATTCTAGGTCCCAGTGAAGTTGCCTAACCTAGTTTCTTTTTTCTTTTTAAAGTCGAGTTTCTTTCCTGTGGGCTGTGCTGGGTCCCTGTCGCTGTGCTCAGGCTTTCTGTAACTGTAGTGAGCGCGGGCTCCTCTTCTGTGCGGTGCTTGGGCTTCTCATTGTGGTGGCTTCTCTTGCACGAAGCGTGGGCTCTGACTGAGGGCTGAGGAGTTGTGGTCCCCAGGCTCAGGTGCCCCACGGCATGGGGAATCTTTCTGGGGCAGGGATCGAACCCATGTCCCCTGCTTTGGCAGGCAGATTCTCAACCACTGAACCACCAAGGAAGTCCCTTCCTCTAATTTCTAGTCTCATATCTGCCACCATCCTCTGGGTAGCTTTGAGGACCCTGAGTTTCTCCATTTGTAAATGGGGATGTAGGACTAGGTGATCTATCAATTACAGAACTGATCAGTGTGGACTACAATTCTGTGGGTCTAGGTTTGTGGAGGTGAGAAATTTAATGGAGAAGGCATTAACTAAATAATATTATACTTCAATTCAGTATTAGCAACTGCATATCAATTATTATTTAAAAGTGAACATATACTAACCACTGAAGAATGTGAGTAAAAAGGAAATACGGCTTCAGCCATATTGTCACTAATATATTTAGCTTGCAAATACTGTAATAAGTAACATAATCAGTGATCATATTTATATAAATGTCATTAGTGAATGATATTAACACCCTAATTGTAAGCCAAGTGCTAAGTGCTTTATGTCTATTACATCTTATCATCTTCCCCGTTACAGTGCCATGTGGGAATTACTGAAGCTGTGATTCAAAGTTGCACAACTGTATGTGGAGGAGGTTGAGTGGAAGCCTAACAGTACTGGGGCTCTGTGCTAGCACATTTCATCAACTCCCTGAGAGGCAGGGAATGCTGACTCCCCCTAGGAAGAGGCCAGTCTCATGGAAGGCAGATGTGAATTCAGGGGCACCCTAGGGCAGTGTTTGGGTCCCCTCACTCTCATCTGCCTCTGTCTCTCGTGCAGCTCAAGCACCAAGGTCGTCCGTTTAGTGGTCCCGGCTTCTCAATCCCCGAACTCTCCCTCATAACCCTGCCTTCGACCGACATGCCCTTCGAGATCTGGAATGGCCTGGAAGATGGAGAACGTCTGAGGCTCACCCAGCAGGCCTTCTGGTCCTTCAGCCAGCACCTCCTGCTTGCGGTGCGTGACCAGAATGACATAAGCCCTTTGAATGACAATTCCATCGTGGTGGATCAGCTTTGGGAAGCAAGACTCAAGGCCAAAGGCCTAGCAATCAAGTTGGTTAGCATCATGACTGCCCTGGGCCTGCCCACACCCCCAGCAAACCCCCTCGGTACTGTCCCCTTCGGGGACTCGGCCTTCCATAAGAAGTGTCGAGGGTATGTGATAATCCGGGACTACAGCTTTTGGACAGACCGAGCTGTGACTTTCTTGGGTGAGCTCAAGGCCAAATACTCTGAATAGAGGAGGTAGGACTTCCTGTTAGAGGCTGCAACCTTTTCCCATTCACAGCTGATTCTTCCCATTTTTTTTTTTTCCCCCTCACAAGGGATTCTTTTCTGCCTTGCTTCTTGGCTAAAAAGGAGACACATGTTGTCTAGCAGACAGGGCTTGTGTACCACAAATTTGGAACATTTCCTGGGAACAAGGCCTCTAGTCCTTATGCCTGAGCCATCCTGCCTAAGTCCTGTGGACTCCCTTCCAGATCTGGGTGGGACTCCATGGACGGCATCTCATGAATTCCCATTCCAGCGGTACTGGTTGCTCACTTCCTGGGTGGAAAGAAATACCTCTCTGAAGACGCTTCACTTACAGTCCATGGGGTTGCAAAGAGTCTGACGTGACTGAGTGACTAACACTGTTCAGTTTCACTTCCCACTCTACACAGGGAGTACAGTTGGTCCCCTTCCAGTCATTTAGGGGAGGTCCAGGGACTGCCTTCTTGTCTCTATCTACCTCATTTCCTGTATGAAGATATGGACTTTCTGAGCAACGAGGCCTCCCTTTTCCCTGGAGTTCATTTCCTCCTCGAGACTACCTCTCTGACTGTGGCCACTGCTCCAAGTTCCCATCTTAAGGTGCTTCACTTCCTAGGCAATGGATGTCTGACTCTTGAAAAGCTAAGGACTCGAGTCACATCTGTTTCTTGCTCAGAACACATCCACTTCAGTATGACAGATGGCATCTGTGGCCCGGGGCTCTCCTGAACCTCCTCTTTATAGTGTGGCTTTTGCGGATGATTGGGGGGACCAGGCCATATCCCAAGGATCTTATTCTCCTTAAATGTGTCTCCCCATTTTCAACGACTATATATACTGGCAAATGCAATGGTCATTTTAAACATTTTATTTAGAAAGAATCAATTTATTCTCGTAAATAAAACTCTTCAAAGGGGTGAGATTTTTTTTTTCTCTTCTCCAAAAACCTGACTTGAGGAGAAGGGAAGGTGTAGGTTTAGGGCAGAGGGAGGGGAAGGGGTGGAGGGCATCAAAGGGAGAGGGTGGAGGGCCACAGGGCTGGGATGGGGACAGGGAGAGCAGCAGGTGGAGTGACCCTGCGGAAAGGGGGCTGAAATGTGTCAG